CACTATAAACCATAAAACGGGAACCTATATCTTACCTGAGTTCCATCTTTTCCAATGACAAAATTTCGATCCCCGGAAATCAAAATTGACTCCAGGGTTTGAGCTTTCTCCTTTGCCTTTTCTATCTCAACGAGCTCTGCAAACTTCTCTGGTGTGAAGGGGTAAGCCAGACTCCCATGCTCGTCAATGGCATCAGCAACGTTCTCACTAAGTGTTTTACCATCTGCCCCAATAATAACCACTGTGGGCAAAGTTGAGTGCTCAAAGTACCGAGCCAACTTCTTTACACTTTTGTCCCCAATGGGTAAAGAAAACCAAGGCATTTTCTCAAAATATTGCTTGAATGATTCTTCATCATCATCAAGTGGCACCAAAACAATCTCGAAGTTCTCTCCATTTGCTTTGAGCTTCTCATGAGCCTCCACAAGTTTCGGAGTAAATTCTACGCACGCACCGCGCGAAAACAATGAGAAATAGAGACCCACTATCTTCCCTTCTAGTTCAGAAACAGGCACCTTGATTTATGCACACATCAATGACAAAATTCAGATTGTGCAGCCGTGTTACAGGTCATGCAGAATTCATAAAATACGATACCAGTAATTCAGTATCATAAACAAGTAGCAGCACTGGAACTTACCTTCTCCCCATCATTTGAAATTACAAAGTCGCGCGATCGGGTGACCAGGATAGTTTTCAAGGACTGATCCCTTCTGGCAGCTTCTTCTTCATCTTTCAGCTCTTTCAACTTTTCCAGCGTAAAAGGGTACGCATCAGCTCCGTACTTCCGAATAATCCAAACTCCACTGTCACTCAAAACTTTACCATCTTCGCCAAGGGTCACAAGATGGGGTATCTCTCTAACTTTGAACAACTCATCCACACGACTGCGTGCTTTTGAATCAGAGAACGGGATTGCAAGCCATGGCATCTCCGCGAAGTACCCTTTGAATGACTCATCGTCTTCATCAGCGGAGATAAATACAATCTCAAAATCACCTTTTGGAGAGAGTTCATTGTAGGCCTCAACTAAAGCTTGGGTGAATCGTTCGCATGTACTGCACCATGATGCAGAAAAATACAGCCCAAGCTTTTTCCCTTCAAGCTCTCAACCTTAATCTGCAAATCCAAAACTTGACATATGATGATATGATTCCTCTCTTATATCATCCCATTACCAATATAACGATCGAAACTAACCCCTCTACACCTCTAAATTTTGTTTTCCAGATAGTTTAGTGGGCCTTTGAAATTAGTCTCTCTAAACCAATCATTATTCACGTTAATACATGGTGCCGAAAAATTTACAATTCAAAGACAGTAGTTACATCATAATCCAAACCGTTTATTTTCAGAATTATCATTTAAATATCATCCCTGTTCGAAATTAATCAAATTAAAGACCGTTTAGTAAAACAATATGTATCAAATAGTTGGACGGGTTGAGGAACTTAGAGCAAGTCCAGCGGGGACAAAATGTCCCAACCCTCAATCCAAAAAACGTGTCGGGCCTCTATCAATCAAGTCCACCCCATGAAATGAACTGGTACCCAGCCCGAGTTGGGCAATGGACCAGCCCAAAATAGACTGAGCAAGAAGCCGGGCTATTGGCCTGGCACGTGCGATTCACGCCGGTGTGGCGCGAGTGCCCGACACGGTTTCAAAGCCCGAGCCCGCGTGACAGGCGCACTGACTCCCCCCCCCGAGTTGGCGACGTGGCTTTCTTTCGGCCGTTGGATTTCCAACGGCTAGTTTTCTAGACCGTTGGATTTCCAACGGTAAAAAAAAATTAAATTTTATTTTTAACATAGACAGTCGGATCAAAGATCAACGGTCCACGTTTTTTTTACAAAAAAGTAAATTAAAAAAAAAAAGGCCCCAACGGTCAGAAATATGACCGTTGGCCACGTGGCAAGTTCCTGGCTCTTGAATTTGAATATTTTTCAAATCCAACGGTCCAGATTAATTAACTATATTAAAATTCATTAAAAATTATTAAAAAATACATAAAAATTTTAAAAAATTACAGAAATATTTGAAAAATGTTATTTTTTTTCCTATAAATACATAACCCTCATCTTCCACCTTTACACCACATTTCAATATTTTCTACACTTTCTATACTATCTACATTTCAATATTTTCTACACTTTAAGAGAAAAAAATGTCTTCGTGGAAGCTCATTGAAGATGTTACGGCGTGTCGGGATTGGTCGAAAATATTATCGGAAATCTATCTACAAAATAGTACGTTTGGATAGTGACACGTGGCATGACGTGATTGGTTGAAAATCTTATCGAAATCTTTGCTAAATTATTGTAAAACGGAAGTGACACGTGGCGTGTCGGGATTTGTTGAAAATCTTAGTGGAAATCTATTCACAAAATAGTACGTTCAGATAATGACACGTGACGTGACGAGATTGGTTAAAAATCCTATCCGAAATTAAAACTATTTGATTTTTTTATTCTTTTAGAAAAAATTTAAAAATATTTTAAATGGACTGGGTGCCAGCGCATTTTGTAGAGATGGAGATCGTTTGTGCCAGCGCATTTTTTCACTAGGTGCCAGCGCATTTTTTTAGGGATGGAGATGTCTTGGCCTATCAGTGTTCATTGGAGTCTGTTACTGTCCATTTGAGTGGATAAATACGCTGGGTGCTGGCGCAAAATCCTTAGGGATGGACTTGCTTGGCCTGTTTGCTATATTTCCCGAAAACAACTAAAGAGAATTTATCTTAGATCAGTTTTTCTTAAAATCCAAGAATTTGTTTTGATATTTAACTCATATACTGTTTTAAATCTCAAAACTATAGAACCCAGTTGAACTTGTGATGTGAGAGAAAAGAGAGAAGAGAGAGAAAAGAGGGAGAGAGAGCCAGCGTGCTTTAGAAGTGCGTTGCTTAAAAAAAATACACTTATAAATATAAAAGTTGTGAGGATTTTAAGTGTTTGGTAAACTGAAAAAAAAAAAAACTTATTTTAAAAACTACTATCAGGATAAAGCTGAAATCAAAGAAAAAAATTGAAACTGCTATTTGCGGCTTTGGAAAACTAACTTTTTTTCAAAACAGACGAAGTTGCAATCCTCCTTTTAAAGAAAAGATTTATTATCAGACTGCTTTTTTTTCTAAAAATATTTTTACAAAAAAGTTTACCAAACACTCTACTGATTTACTTCACAGCCGTTTATTCTGACTGCACAGCCCCTTATTCTTACATCAATTTTTTTTCAAAGCACAACAATACCAATCCACCCGTCAGTCATATCAACTTTTGTATTTGGAGTGTTCAAGGTCCACTGTTGTGTAAAATCGAAAGACGAAAGAAGCGAAGAGGATCAGAAAAAAGATGTGAAGTTTTACCTGATCACCATTGTTACGGACAAGAAAGTTCCTCTCGGAAGCCGAAAGAAGCGAGACAACGTCGTGGGGTTCGGAGCCGACCAGCTTGGCAGCTTTAACTTCGCCGTCGGACATTTTTGATCTTTCGTATGTTCCTAGACGAGGTCGGGATTTCGAACTTCGAATTCACCGGAGGCTGTGTGAATTGTGAGAGTGAGTAGTGTGGGGGCGCGGGGGGAGGGGGGGGGAGAGCGCGGGGGGAGGGGGGGGGAGAGAGATCATGGAAGGGCCTATTTATGTGCATAAATTTATAAATTTTTGTGTTTAGTGGGAGTGAGAGGGAGTCCAGAATTCTCTAGGGACATTTTTAATGTTAAGGAAATATTTTTATTAGTTTTCTAAAGAAAAAAAGCTTTACTGGCGAACAATTAACAGCCATTCATGTTAAAAGCAGCTTTTTTTAGTTCGACACCTGTCCCATTCTTGTTTTTTAGCTATCATTTAGTGTGATGTTGAACCAATGAGCATCCACATTGTCTTTTAAGTTGGAACTGCTGCTAATTGTTTAGCATTCAAACATTCTTCTTAAAGAAAACAAGAAGATAATTATAAGAAACTCACTTAAACTATTGAGTGAGAAATTCGAACGTGAATACAGCGTAAATTAGATAAAGCATATTGCTTTAATAAATTTGGTTAAACCCAAATTTATTTTTTAAATTAATCAGATTTTTGATGTGGACATTTGATATGGACAACCATATTATTTGAATTAATTAAATTTTTAAATTTAGTTTATTATTTAATAAACTAATAATTAAATAAACTAGTTAATTAAATTATGATTGTAGTATACGAGGAGTTTTTCTCCTTAATTTCCTTAGATTTTGTAAAAATTTTAAATGATATGACTGTCCACCTAAAATGTTATCTAAAATGATATAAAACATATATGAATAACATCACTCTAAATTTAGGCCACAAAGTTAAGTTATTATTTTGTGTTGTAAAAGTGGATGTCCCACTTGACGGAATAGGCATCCACAACCAATTAGATGATGAATTTGTGCTGCCAGCTCTCTGTGACCTGTGCTATTTAAACAATCATTAACCTTATCAGAGAGGTATACGTTTTTTTTTATATAAAAGCCTATTAGCTTCCAAACATATCATATAAACGATACATCTATTATTTTCATTGTCTTTGTACTTTCAGTTTAATAATGAGAGAGATTACTGCTAATGCCTCATGTAGGCATACTTGCCGAATCTTATAAATATTATGTCTTATTTACTTTATATTCTGCTGCACACATAGATTCTATTTCACAACACCTTGTTTATTTAAGGTACAATTGCAATCGTCGTACTTAAGTGTGAACATTGGAAAAAAAAAAGTGTGTACCTGGACCACAACATCATCAACATTGACTTGATGGAATCATTGACCTTTCCGGGTCGTCAAGCGTAAAATTAAAACCCGTGCTCTTTATGGGCTTTGGCCCGTTTTGATTGTTGACAAAAGCCCAATTTGGCGTACGTAGTATTTGGTTTGTTGGTAGTTGTCTGCGTTTGATTGGATAAGGTATCAGATTCGACTTTCGTAAATGAAATATGTATTCTGTGATGAGTTTGATATCTAGTTGTGAGTAGCCCGTTACAGCGATGTAATTTTATTGTGGTACTGTAAGTGCATTACATTGCATAATTTAGTTGAAATTAAGGTCATAAGCCTTGAGCCCATCAGGCCCAAAAATCCCGAAATGTCTCTCAAACTCTTCCCCATGCTTCTCATTCTCATCAAACAAATCAAACAAGAAAACCTCCACTCCAACCCCCGGCCTCCTCGGCGTCCCAACCCCTTCCACCGCCCGTCTCACCACCTCCGCATTGTATGCCCTCGAATTCTCCACACTAGCGGCCTCCCCTCCGCCGGTCGGCCACCCCGTCTCCGAAACCACCACGGGAACTCCAACAACTCCCTCCCTCTCCATCGCGCTCACAAAAGCATCCACACTCGCGTCGAAAAGATTACTATACACCAACTCACCATCGTTAACGACCTCACTGGTGGCTCGAAACAACGCGTATTCAAGAGAGACGTAGTTCTTGTTGCGTAGGTAGCTAAAGTAGGGGTAGGAGTTGACCATGAAGGGAGAGTTCGTGTCGCGGAGGAAGCGGAGGAGGGGGAGGAGCGAGGGTTGGACGGAGGGGTCGAATGAGGCTGAGGAGGGAGGGTATGAGGCGGACAAGACGGAGGCGGCTTGTGGGGAAGAGAGCTTGATGGAATTGTCAAGCCCTAGGGTTTGGAGGGCTTGATGAAGATTGAGAATGGCGGGAAGGACGTGGGGAGTGTAGTAAGGGTCTTTAAGGAAAATCTCGTTGCCAACGGCGATGTATCGGATTTGGTTTGCGGGGATGTGAGCGAGGATGTTTGATTGGAGCCAGTCAAGGGTGGTGGCGACGGAGGAGGAGGCGAGGGCAGGGAGGAGTTCATTGGGGACGCCGATGGTGAGGTGGATTGTTGGGGTGGCGGAGAAGGAGCTGAGGGTGGCGGGGTCGGTGTTGAAAAGGCGGACGGATGAGATTCCGTTGTCTTGGAGGATTTCGAGGACGGTGGAGGGTGGCGGGAGATTGTTGGCTACTCGGCCGTAACAGATTCCAATTGGTTCTGCTGCTGCTGAACCTACAAATGTAATTACAAAATCAGTTTATTCAAACTTAATTTAGTTATTTAGTGCATGCCTTGCCATGCATAAATTCATGCAAATATATATATATATATATATATATATATATATATATATTTGTATCAAAATTAGATTGACGTTTATAACTCAGTTTACTAAGAGTATTTTCTCTTTACACTCGATATCTCAATTCGTTTCTTACCTTCCTGAATAGTATCAATGAAAATAATAGACAAAAGAGAATGAATATGAACTTTACCTAATGAGCGTGAGAGAAGATAGAGAAGGATGAGGAGATGATTATGATCAAATTTCTTTGGCATTTTAGTTAATTTGAAGAATTGAGCCCAATCAAGCTGATATGCTGAATTAGTACTTAATTGCTTGATGAAATTTATTTAAATTAAATTGGGATGCCGAGCTATGATTTGTTTCGGTTAATTATGTTGTTTTGATTTTGGTTTTAAAGTAGTTTGTTCTTTCGTTTTGGGATTTCTAGTTTAAGAACATGTTTTGGTCATGATTTTGTTGGTTTCACCTACTAAATTACAGTTTCTCATCTTCTTATTGAATGATTAAAAAAAAATTGATACGATAACTGACTTACATGACTGATGAGACACTCTCATAAAGGATGAGATTATGTGCATTAACGATTGTACTTAAGCTAAATTAAAACTAAATACAAAAAACTTAGAAATAACCTAATCAATCACGTAATTGAGCTGTTTCTATATGTGGTCCCACTTTAACCTTGAGTGTTTGGATAAACACACTTTTTGACTAGCCAGCGCCCATTGAAATTAGGCTTGACTAGAGTCACACGTTCGAGCTGATTTTTTGACATTCAAACCATACCAGGGCTTATTATAGTTGTTAGAACTTAGGAAGTGTTGGATGTAAAGACATTCCTTTTCCACCAACACTCCTCGCATGGATTTTGGACAAGTAAAATATGGCCAACAAACAAAATGCATGTCTCCATGTTCTTGTCAATGCTAAGTCCAGTCGCACGAACAAAAATGTTACTTTTATCACATATTTTTGTCATCATTTGTACTATCTATTATAGAGATGAAATCTACATGTGTTGATGAGTCAGACCTCTATTAGAGAGATAGTACAAATATGTAGTAAGTATGACGTTAACTCGTCCCACACAACATTGAGGATGGCTGAGCCTGAGCCCTCTACATGGTAGGTTTAAGGAAGGGGTCAATGTAGGGATTAGACCGTTAATGACATATATTTTCAAATTTCAGGTGGGCGGATCACATTTCAGCTAACTCTATTTCCCCCTATGTTACTATAGTACTACATTATATATTAACTGATGAACTTCGTGACAAAAGAAAAATAAAAAACTATTTTTAAGACTTCAAAAATCTAATTGTGTACTTCTCGAACGAGTATAATAATTATCAATTAATGTCACATATAATGTGTATACACTCTTAGGTTTTCTCTAATCATAATAAAAAGAAAACCTAAATCTAAGCTGAATCCACGTAGCAGAATCGCTCCTTTATAAAAAAAAAGGGGGGGGGAATAAAGATGGCAATGAGTGAGCACTAAGTAAAATGCTCCATGATATTTTAAATTATAAAGGCTGGCACTAAAAGCACCAATTTTTAAAATACCATTTCATTTATTTTTTGTATAGTCTCACTTTGATACTTATTTTTTCACAACAAATAACAAAATTTCAGACAAGTTGATGTCTTTACAATTAGGGTAATTCTATTAATACCCTACAATCTTATGAATACATCCCATAATTTTATTTTTTCAGTTAAATTTTCGTTTTTACCCTGATGAATTAAGTTTTGAAGTCCAAAATAAACCCCCATCCACCCCCTTATGTCGGCTACCAACCACCACAGTGTCTAGGCAAAAAATCTCAGCCACTCGCCATGCTCGCTCTCTCTCTCTCTCTCTCCATATATATATATCCAATCACCAGCCACTCGCTAGTAGGTAATAGGGAATTGGGAGATGGGGTGTGTGAATCAAGAATGTTGGGCAATTCTCGATCTGTTAGAGAGTCGGTCTTGGATGTCAACTTCTGCGACGTGGAGGGTTTTTGGCTATGCTGATATCGATGATGGATACCTCTTATATGGGTGGCCCGTGGCCATTGAGCTAGCTTTTTTGCAGTCATTTGTCTATAGTGATGGGGTGGCTTCAGAAAAATGGAGGACAAAACTGAAATTTTAGAGACACATTTTAGATGTGAGGTGTTAATAAAACAACCCTTACAATTATTGTGTTCTAATTTGCACCCTACAAAATTTTTGGATGAACATTTTTTTTTTTGGGAGAAATGCTAAGGAGACTATTTTAAAGTGAAACTCTTCATGGACTCTCTCCCGCCTCACTGTTGAACGTTAACTCTCGTATCAATATTATAAAACGTTGGCAAAAAAATGAGGTGACATATAGTCCATGAAGTCATTTTTTTTTAGAGAGTCTCTTTAGCATTTATCTTCTTTTTTTTGTCAAATATTTTTGGATGAACATATTAAAACAATATAACAGTTTGGAAAGATGTACTTATATATTCCCAGATCAAGGGCTGAGATGGATATGTGTTGAATTGATTCCAATCATATGCTCAATTATGCGATCCCCTAGCAAACAAATGCTACTTTTATTTCTCATGGGGGCCTTCTGAGAAACACTAATGCACTGTCCAAACTCCAAAGGCTCCAAAATCTTGCTTTCTCTCCATACAAAGCAATCTCTTGCAGCTCCTCCTTCCACAGCAAAGAGATCAACAGGGAATATCTTTACTTGTCTCTTTATTAAAGAAAGTTAATTTCCTACTTTTTAAACACAAATACCAAACAATTGAGTCCCGGTGTTAAAGTAACGCTATTTAGCCGCATAAAAATCATCACACTGTTGACTATAATGCATGGACACGGATAGGGGATACAGTACGACACGAAGATACGTCAAATTAACAAGAAGTATTATTGTATGACCACAAGAGAATACAACACGACACAACATGACATGGGAATACGAGATAATATCATCGTATCCATGTATAGTAGGCTGACACGCTCTCATATTATGTTGATTTTAATATTAATATTCGCATGGCCCAGTCTCACAGGCAATCATATTAATGTTCTTGCTTGATCCATGGGTAAACCCAATTCTCTCCCTTTGCCTGCACTCAAAGAACAAAGACCTGCAGAGACTTTAACACTAATGAATCCCTAAATCCCATATCCTCTGTATTATCCAATCCAATCCAATCCAATCCTATCCTATCCATACCATCATCATGTCCTCCTTGCAGCCCCAGCAGCAGCAGCAGCAGCAGCCCGTTGGCCCTGTTCTTGTTTACCCTAACAATGTCAATAAACAGCCTTCATCTTCCCACCATTCAAACGGCTCATTCGGGACCGTTTTCATCGTGCTGGCCGTTATAATCGTCATCTCCGCCATCGCTTGCTTTCTAGGAAGGCTCTGCAACCGCCGCCTCAACAGCTCGAGACCCCATAGGCAACCGCAGCATAACTTTCGTCCCAAGAAAGAAGCTGGCCCTGCTGATGGCGGTGGTGGAGATCATCACATGGAGTTTGGCAGGGCTCCAAGCTTTCGAGCAGGCCCGAAAGTAGCAGACGTCAAATTCGGATTCGATAGGAAAAACCCGAATGGGAATAGCAGCAGCAGAGGAGAGGGCAGAGGATACATGACTCATCATCACAACAAACCACATCATAACGGGAATGGGGAAATGGATCATCACATGAAAGGTGAAATGAACCAGCAACCTGGCGGCGACGGCGAGCATCACGTTGGAATGGGAGATCCCAGAGCCAGTGGATGAAATGATGATCAGATTAGTAACTTCTTGTTGCTGGATTGGCTTTCCTTTCTAAATTAATCTTCCTGTTTTCTATGTTCCTCTGTTATTATTATTATTATTTTTAATTTGTTTCCAACTCTGAAACTTCTATTGGAAATTTTGAGTAGAAATTTCATTGTCCTACATTGGTCACTACCAAAATGTTTCCTTACTTTATAAGGCTTTGTCCATCACTCTAATCACTTTCTATAGGGGACAAAACCTTATAAAGTGAGAAAATCTTTTGGTAGTGACCAATATGTGACAAAGAAATTTCTACTCAAAATTTTCAACAACTTCAAGTGCTGATATAGGTTATGTTAAAAGGTTTGTGGCATATTATGGACTAGTGTACAAAATTATGGCATGGTATGATCTTCAATCACAGAAGGCCAAAACCTTGATCAATGATCCACACTCTTTGCATAGATGAAAAGGAAAATAACTTCTCTCATAAAAAATGAAAGTGGAAAATCTTGATCGTTACACGTATTAGTAATATTACGTGACTGTTATACTAAAAAAATGCAACGAGCTTATTCTAAGGTGAAGGAGTTGTTTAAAATAAGGACGAGAATGTAAGTGTGTCAAACCAATCATTCAATGTCATATGAGAAATTTAAAACACGCGGCATCTTGTTACTAATTTATAATGCCACAGTTGCATCCCGAAAATTGTAGGCAAGTCTTTCTCCATTTTCAGATTTCCGCCCAAACAAAATGGAACGAACCACCGTCCCTGCCCCCGATCAATTATATTGACGACAAATTCACCAACAAGCAACAGCAGTTCATAAGAACATTTTTTACGAAATAATTAAAATGATTTACGGTGAACAAATTCAAAGATAATTTCTATCAATTTTCAATGTCATGGACTAAAGTAAGAAATTATAAATATCTCAATGATCATTTTTTCTCAAAAGCCTTGAATAAATTCACTGCAAATATACCCAATCTTTCATGAAACTTGGGCTTAGGCTGAAGTTGTGTGTATGTATAAGACAACAAGTAGGCTATCATCATGTATCTGGGCCTTAAGCCCAGGACCAGTAAGAGGCCCAATTATATGGCTGGCTTCATCTGTACACAACTGCCTCAAACAGTACCGTTGAGGAATTATCAGAGAATTGTAACCGTCCGGCTAAAGACAGACAACGTATACTGAGATGATATGTACCTTCTAGCTAATATGCTTTTCCCTAAATTTTGTTTTTCTCCTCCACCACCGTTTACATTTGGTTTTCTTTCAATATTTCCACCTCAAAATATTGCATTACCACACTTCTTACACAAATTTTAGTGATTTTCACGTTTTCATTTTTTCATTATGCATTCTATCTTCGCTTTTGTGCGTTTATTTTTCTTTGCTTTATTCAATTAAGGTTTAAAAAGAAAGCTGAGTGCACGGGGAAAGGAAAGCAGAAAAATTGTAATGCTATGTGTACCGAACCCAATTAACCACACATACACGAGAGATGAGCCCGCATTTTTTTTAACGCAAGAAATGATTGTTTTGGAAAAATTTTGACTTTAGACCCGACTTTTTTCCCCAAGTTCTATTTTGCACTTATGTATTATTTTTAGACAATGCAATATTCCAAAATACGTTTGAGGGAATTCGAACTTGAGTGAAGGGGACATACACAACCAATTAATCTAATTGACATAAGCTTATTCATTTCCACTATCACAACTCAAGATTAAACATTTTTTTGTTTATTAAAAAGACGACTCCAAGCTAATAAAACTCACTACTTTACGAATGACAAATGAAAACGTATATTGTATGCAGTTTTACTTTACAAAGAGTTTATTAACCATTTCGATTCTTCTTACCCAAGAAAGAAACACTTTAGTATCTTTTTTAACTGTTGCAGTTAAGGGTAGCTTTCAATTCCATTGGGATCGTTTGAACCATTCGGTGGTCGGTTTTTGTACACTGGCTTTAGTCAGTCAAAACTGTCCCTCTCTCTCTCTCTGCTGGTAGTACAGATTACCACTGTCACAGATTTGCCCCTCTGATCAAAACGATTCACTCCCAGGGTCCCCATTCCAAAAGCAGAGAGAAGTTTGTTAGCCTTGTCGTGTACCAGGTACCCCAAAATTCATTAGCGTGGACTCACCACTCCAACCCATTAGTCACGGTAAACCGTCACAAAAAGGAAGAGAAGGAAAATCAGTGAGATTGATGGGTTTGGAGGCAGCAATGGAAAGGCTTCGACCCCTCGTAGAAGCCAAGCAATGGGACTACTGTGTCGTCTGGAAACTCGGCGACGACCCCTCCAGGTAATATTACCAGAAACCCACGTCCAATCTTTTTTTTTTTTGCTTTTCGTAAAGTTTGAATTTGTACTTTTTATGTGCTTATTGAAATTTGCAGGTTTATTGAGCTGATGGGTTGCTGCTGCGGCGGCGGGTGCGACGGCGGTACTGTCAAAGTGGAAGAAGGAGAGAGCGATGAGACTCGGGTTTGCAGAGATGGGTTTCTGAAGCACTCGATCAGGACTAAGGCTTGTGAGGCGCTTGCTCAGCTTCCTTGTTCCATGCCTCTGTATTCTGGGTAAGCTTTTAGCTCTCTTTGTTTTGGGTTGCGTTTTATGTGTTTGTGTTTTTGCTTATGAGAGATTGAACGCAGGATTCATACGGAGGTGGTGATATCGATGCAACCCAGGTGGCTCTGTGGGCATCCCAATGCCTCGGCTTCAAATCCTTCTCAATCTCACGTGGGTACCCCACAAGTCTCTCACTTTTTTCTTTTCTCATCACTTTTTCTCGGCAACCAAACAGTACGCAGGCTTTGTGTTTTAAAATATGGGTTTTCGAGGTTGGTCACAATCATTCAAATAGTTGCATTGTTTTCAGCAAAAAAAGAGAAAACTCACAGCTCCAGGCTTCTGAAAGTGCCTCTATAAAATGTATACTTAAAAATGACCTTTTCATTTTCTGTTCCGTTTCCAAACTTTCCCGGAAACCAAACAGCTCATTAGATGTTTTCTTACACTGGGTGGGAGTTGGACATTCTTCTTAACATGGAATAATCTTACTTTTGACAGGATTCAACTGGAACCCGAGTATTGATCCCGATGCTTAGTGGCCTTATTGAGCTTTTCTCCACAAAGAATGTACGATTTTAATTCCTCTCTTTTCTAATTGTATTCAGACTGCGGTATACATTTTCTCCAACTTGAATAACGTACATTTCGCTTTTCAGATTCCGGAAAATCGAAAGATGGTAGAGTTGTTTATGTCTTCATTTAATGTCTCTGTAAAACAAGAAGTCATATCTCCACATGATTATGCCAATGTGAGCCTCAATGCTAGTGGACCACAAAGGGTGCTACCTTCTTTGAGTTTTGCAAGCTTCATTCCTAGGCCACACGTTTTACCCTCAGTTTCCCCATCGACCTCCTGCCCTGAGGGATCATCCAGCGGTTCGAACCCTTCAAGTCATCAACATCCATTGCTGTCTTCGCACTCTAAAAAGCCCAATTGTGGCGACAACTTGTTCCAGCAACCAGCAGGCTTTGCTTCAGGCAGTGGCAGTGTGGAAGAGGAACATAATGCAAAGGTTAACAGGAAACAAAGCGGGCACTACCGATCCAAGAATCTCATAGCTGAGAGAAATAGGAGGACAAAGATCAAAGACGGGCTCTTTGCTCTGCGTTCCCTAGTCCCGAAAATAACCAAGGTTGAGACCCTCTTATCTATGAAATACTTTTTCTTTGCATTTTATTTATCTTTTGATCTTATCATCCGTCTGTTGAATTATTGTAGATGAATACAGCTGCTATTATAGGAGATGCTATTGAATATATAGAAGAGTTGCAGAAGAAGAAGAAAGAACTTCAAGACGAGCTCAGGGAACTTGACGAAGAGGAGGACCTCACCAAGACCAAAGTGGATATGAAAGTTTTGGCCTCGGACGAGAGAAAGGAAGGCAGAATTTGCTTGACTTCTGCAGAGCAAAACAAGAGTTCCTCCAGTTTTGTCCGAAAAAGTCCAACCGTTGTACGCATAGCTTTTAATTTATCATCGCACCTACTTGAGCTTTCACATCCAACTTACACACTAGATATGTTTCAGTTCATTTATGTCCTGCCTTTTTGTTAGGTGCAAGTGGAAGTGAACCAGATTGGCAAAAGAGATTGCTTGATTAAGCTATTCTCTGAGCAGAACCGAGGCGGGTTTGCAAGGTTGATGGAGAATATGGATTCCTTAGGACTTCAAGTTGTTGATGCCAATGTCACCACGTTCGACGGAAATGTCCTAAATATTCTCAAGGTTGAGGTAAGATTCCGATAAAGAAAATTCATCTTGTATTTGAACCTTTCATAAGAAATCATGTCTTATCGAGGGAGTAAGAACAATTTATTTTGCTCATTTTTCTTACATACACGTTGCATTGTTGTGTTCATCCATAGGCAAACAAAGACATTCAGGCAAAGAAATTGAGAGACAGTTTAATCCAGCTAACAAGGGGGACAAATCAGACTGTTCATAAAGGGATAATCTGATCAATTATCGTTGATTTTGGAAAATCAAGGTTTCATCCAAGAACATCTAAACAGCTCCCTTAGCCATGTCCAAGTATGGAAGATTATTCTTCCTTCATTTATCGTCGGAAGTATGGAAGTTTTGGAGGCTAACATAACAGGTTTTTCCATTTCATCTCTTCATATATGAGCAAATTCATTCTTCAAGGACCATTAAAAATAGATTACTGGGTCTAATGAAGTACAATTGCAGTAAAATATTCTGCTAATGATTGCATCGTCGATTAATCAATGCTAAATTCATATGATTTATACATTCCGAGATCCCAAAAGTGTGTAAATACAAAAATTAGGCACATTTGACTGAAATCTTACTGCTCTACCTCTAGTATCAATACAGATTCTTCGTATTAATGACTAAAAAAAGTACCTTGAGTAAACTTTACAAGCTCTTCCCTGCTGGTAATGCGTCGAGGGAACGACCTTCATCAAGGAAAAATGGAGAAGAAAAAAAACGAGCAGCAGCTTAATTTACACTAATATGTCAGATTTAGTCAATAAATTTAACAAAAGTGGTCCACTGTCTCCCTGTTTCTTTTGCTCTCTCTCTCGAACTCTCTCTGTGGAGTACCATGAGTTAACAATGTCAAGATGACGAGTGTGTGGACATTCAGAAATCAATTCACAATTATTTCGCCACTCTTTCTATTCAGAACCGTCTGCCTTGATTTCCGCTGATTATCTGCTCACCACCACGCGTGGTAAAAGCTCGAGTATCTGATTCATCACTTGAAGGATCCTGGCGAGTCCATAAACTTTGGGGTCCTGATACCTCTCTGGAAGTGAAATCTGCACTGGATATCTCTGAGCTGCCTCCGCTTCCTAATGCCATCCTTCTGAATCTATTGATGTCTTCATTGTACTGGCCAGAGTCATATGCAGTACTCTGCCCAACTTTCACTCCATTCGTTAGATCAGATAATTCGCCTTCACAGTCCAATGCTCTTACCACCTGAAAAATAAATCATCCAGTAAGTCTGTAGTGGTGACAATAAGTCCAATACGCAAATAGTTATACTCCAATAAATTGTCATCATTGTTCTGTTTATTAGTATTCACCTGCGCCATTCGTGGTCGTTTTAGAGCAGAATGACGCACGCAAGCAGCAGCAGCCTCGATCATTCTGAACATTTCACCCTCCACATAATGTTTCTCAAGCCGAGGATCTACTAATTCACTCAAATCCCCAGTTTCAAGGGCTTGAATAAGAAGTGGACGAGCCTGCGAAATTTTAGACACAAAATTATGAATATGAAAACAAAGTGGATTGCTAAACCATTGACAGGCTGCATTTGACATGTTTGCAAAGCGAAAGATGTTCATACCCATTCAACCAAACTCTCATCCCCTAAAGGTCGAGTTGGATCAACAGGTTTCCGCCCAGTTACAAGCTCTAGAAGCACAACTCCGAACGAATATACATCTGATCTGTCCGTCAATTTGCCACTATTTGCATACTCAGGTGCCATGTACCTGAAACCAAATCGAACATAAGTTCCAAGGTTGTAATTTAAGTGTCACAGATAAGCAATGCAGTCATCAGGCAATAGTTCCCGAGTTTACAAGGTCTGTTTTACCCGAATGTTCCCATGACCCGAGTGGATACGTGAGTATTCATGTCGTTTGTAAGTTTGGCAAGCCCAAAGTCTGCAACCTGTGTTTGAAGAAATTCAAGAGTTAGAAACTAGAGGCTCGCTGTCAGAAAAACAAAATCAGTACAACATGAAATGAACAGGTATAGACATGCCTGTGCTTCAAAGGCATCATCCAGCAGAATGTTTGCCGATTTAATGTCTCTGTGAATGATTTTTGGATGGCCTTCAAACAAATCGTACAAGGAAAATGGACAAAGTGAGATAATTTGGACAGAAAGCGCTGACAATAGCCACTGAGGGAGTGGGCAAAAGGCCTACAAGCGGCTAATGAGGCGCGTAAAAGATGCATACCCGTGGCTAATAGCGTTATTAGCCACTGATACGTCTTTTACCCACTTCATTATGTACCGCTAATGTCAGTAACTATTATCGGATCTAATAACACAAAGTCACAAAGATGTATATAGGTGCGTACAGTCTTCGTGTAAATACGCCAAGCCTTTTGCAGACCCCAAGGCAACCTTGAGTCTCTTGGTCCATTCCAACACCGGCATTCCGGCACCTGAAAGTAGATAACAAATCAACAATTTGAAGTACCATAACAAGTAGTTGAATATATAAGAAATAAAACTAACAACATCAAAGGATGAGGTTAACTAGATTAAATCACCTACCATGCAAATGGTGCTCAAGAGTTTTATTGGGAACAAATTCATAGATAAGCAATCTTTGCTGTTCAGAGATGCAGTATCCCACCAGAGAGAGCAAGTAACGATGATGCACGCGACTAATAATCTCAACTTCAGCCCTAAATTCCTTCTCTCCCTGCCCACTACCAGCCTTGAGCTGCTTGACTGCCACAACTCTTCCGTCCGGCATCCAACCCTTGTACACGCATCCGAAACCACCCTCACCGAGAACGTTTTGACGTGAAAATCCATTCGTTATCTCCATCAATTCTTCGTAGGTGAAATGAACCTTGTTAGCAGCAATGAGACCGGAATCTCCAGAACTCTGCGGGGAAGGTCCGTGCGGTCCACTCGAATAGAAGCTTTCTGTTGGAACAGAAGCTGCAGAACTCTGTTGCTGCGCATGATAATATGCACCTGCATCACGTACAAAGCACAATTATTGAGCTCATTCTATGTACACTTTATATTATCCTTATGTTAGACCACCACTAGAAGAAAAACTGAGTATAGCTAGTGCGGTATTATCACTACAAAATAATATTATCTTTATAATGTTTTTACATAATATAAATGCCTTATATTCACCTCACCTGTGAAACTAATAGCAGTGACTATTATTCGTTTTTCTCTTGATGGATCCCAAAAACTAAGTTGTTAGGAAATGAGTCAACAATGTATACAATTAACGGACAATCTTTACCCGGAGTTGATAAGTTAGTGCCAGGGGGACCGGGGGTGGGAGGCATGTAATTTGGGGGGTATGGTTGTGCCTGCTTCTTTCTCTTCCTTACAAACACAACAATGAGGGCTACCAAGGCAATGAGGAAAACTCCAGCTAACGTCAAGCCTATGACAGTGCCTGTATGCCTACTACTACTACCCCCTGAGTCGTCTGAAGCTGCAGACTGACTTCTGGTTGAGGGAGGGGAGAGGGTGGGGGTGGAATTAGCAGGGCGAGGGAGAGGCTGAGTTGTAGTTCCTGAACCTGCTGGAACCGCTGGAGGGCTAGGTACTGTAGGAGGAGATGGGGTGGTGGGGTTGGTTGAAGGTGTAGCTGGAGGTGGAGAGGCTGGAGGCGACTGAGAGTCACTAGGTGAGGATTGAGAGGAGCCTCCGCCTTGTGATGAATCAGTTGGTGGTGATTTAGATGATGAACTGCCTCCAGAGGATGATGGTTGAGGAGCATTCTCATTGGAAGAACCACTAGGTGGCGGTGGAGAAGCTGGAGGAGAAGGCGATGATGAACCAGATGGCGATCCTTTGTCTTTTGAGGGTGAAGGTGGTGGTGAGCGAGGACGAGGAGGTGACTTTGGTGGCGATGATGATGGTGGTGGTGAAGAGGGGGATGGAGAAGACGGAGGTGGTGACGATGGTGGAGGTGATGATGGCGGTGGAGATGGCGGTGGAGATGGCGGTCGTGGTGAAGGTTTGGGGGATGGTGAAGACTTTGGGGCAGGTGAGTCTGATTTTGGAGGCGGAGACTCTGATTTCGGAGGGGGCGCTTGTGATGGCGGAGGTGGGGAAGGCGGTGACGGTGTTGATTTGCTGTCCTCGGTACTATCGTGGGGCTGCGCGGTGATCTTGCTGTCACTTAACGTTGCCGCGATTGGTGAGTCATGATGAGGTGGTGAATGTGGGTCAGGGGGGTGAGATTCATGCTCATTTGATTCCGACATAATTCTCCTTCCTTTAATTCGTAACCTCTCTCCTTTTTTCTTTCTATCAAAGTTTCCTCCTTCCCAATTTCCCCTGTAATAATTAGTTTAGCACAAGATTAATTAACTAAACCTTTCATTAAATCCAATATTTACCAGAGAAAAAAAAGCCTAAACAAATAATAATAATAATTAACCCAATAATCTTATGTAATGCGGCAAAGGTTTCAAACAATGCACACAAAAAACGAAAAAAGCAACAAGAACCTGTACATGCAATAATGCAACTTTTACGTTGGATAGGTTTGCATGGATGCAGCTGCAGCTACGTACAAACTTCACGTCAGTACAATTGGCTTGGACTCCGTCTGCATGCATGCAACCATGCACGTACGTACGAACCTATCTCTCTAATTCAAACAAATTATTTGTGTTTGCGTTAGAGAGAGAGAGAGAGAGAAAGAGCGGAATTACAGAGATTATCCAGAGATGGATACAGATCGAGAGGGTGGTTGTGAGAGAACTGAAAAGCATTCAACACCACCCACACCACCACCTAATGCCACCAAAAACAACCAAATTAAAAATAAAGAAAAATGATTTGAAAAAGGTAAAAAAATAAAACAATCCCGAAAATTTCTCTCTTGGTTTTTCTTATTAAGGTGTCTTTTGTATGTGTGTATTTTGTGGCTTTTTTCGGTTGTTTAAACCCCAACTGTCGCTCTTTCTTATTTCTGAGGTGCTGCTCCTCCTTGTATGTCGGGTTACCATGCAACCTAAACGGGATGGTGGGTAATGCTTTTGTGTCACGCCAAGTCGTGCCAGTCGGGTCGAGCAGGATCGGATCGGCGTCGTGGTGAATGTGTTTGTTGCCACACCCACCCGTTATTCGCATCTAGATGGGGGCCAATATGACGAGTTGGCAGTTTCTTTTTAGGAATAAATGGTTGGCTATATTTTTAGTTGCACACGTGACATTCGATTTCAATCTTATTTTGATTCCTCTAACCCTAAACCCTCATTTTATTCCCTAAAGTTCCAAATCTGCTCTAATTCACCCCAACCACCCCCACCCTCCCGAAAACCCCATTTTACCTCCTAAAACTCAAAAGTCGATGTCTAACTCTATAAAACTAAAAATTCGCTCCACATCGCCTTAATTTTGTTGATTTCGTTTGGGTGCACCAGGCTAATCATTTTTTTTCTTTTTTTATTTGATCTCTGCAACTCAAGCACATCAACCCAAAAAATCCAAATTTTTTATTTCTTCTTTTAATAAACTTAATATTTTCTCTTAAATGTTGAATGTTAACGCATAGTGAAGATTTATAATCAAATCCATTGACATGTGTGGCATAGTCTTATTGAGTGGTGGGTCCCATATATATGTTTCAGGAGGTCATTTTTGAGTTTTAGTAAGAAGGAGAGAGAGTCCACTAGTTAAAGTGGAATGGATTTTAAGTTTTAGGGAGTAAAATGATGATTTTTGAGTTACAAGAACAAAGTGAGATCAAAATCGAGTTCCACAAAGTATAGCTAAAAATAAGCATAAATAATGCTGATCGATTTTTTTGAGGAAAGATCATGTTTTTTCTTCTTCTTTTCGCTAAGGGAGGAGGGATGAGGAGATGGGAGGGTTCGAAACTATTATAATAATTTAAGAAAGAGAGAAGTTTCGAACATGGGCGCATGAGTGGAAAACCAACACCCTATTCACTAAGATATTGGACCGCATGTATAATACTAGGTAACCCAATTTAATCTGTACTTTAATTCTAATTAAAATTTGACTAATAATTGCAATAAAAGAATTTATGATGTAAAATATGTCACATAATTTGTTGTATGAATTTAGTGTATGCAGCACCACCCATTTGCTACAAAAATTGTACTTGTGAATGGTAATATCCACGAATTATGGGATCTCAAATGGGTATCTTATTACGTGTCTCAAAAACACTAATTATCAAATCAAGATTATAGTAAGAATTTAAGAATGTACATAGCAACATCAATGATAAGTATTAATGGGACTGCAAAAGCAACAACTTTAAAAAGATAAAAAAACTTAAGAAAAATAGCATAGAGAAACCAATAAACTCACGTCACTAAAATGTAATATGACTGTTCTTACGAATCGAAGTTACATTGCCAAAATAAAACCCAGCGCCATATTGCCAAGGAGAACTTGTAGAACAATGGGCGAATTTGGGAGAGATTGTCCTTAGCAATCTAAATGTGCATCACATCATTACACTCAAATTACTTATCTCACACGAGAAATTTTTAGTTGTGACGGAAACACGGATGATATACCATATGTGTTTTTACGCAAGTGTTGGAAAATTTTAATTTTAAAGTTATTAACCTTTTAACACACATAACTCATCATTTATATAGGGACATGTAGTGTACCACATTGTGTGACGGTCACATTGAAAAATCTCTCCTCTCACACTCTTTTAATATTTTAATATTTTTTTTATCAAATGCTAGTGATGTGTAGAAAATATTAAAAAATTAAAAAAATGTGAAAAAAGTAATTTGGAAGGTGTAAATATAATTTCGCTTCGCACACTCTAAATATAAACTCTTATTTATATTAAATTTTATTAAATATTTTCTTATTCGAATTGGAAACCAAATCCAAATCTGAGTAGGAAAACTTGCTTCGAAAGTAAACGGATGAAACAACCCACGTCCCGCATGACCGGCATTAAATTCCAGAAATTACCAAACCACCCTCCCACCAATCCCCCAGATACCTAAAATATCCCCATCAACGGTCCGCACAACGGTCACTTCTCGGGCGGCATACCTAATTTGTACAGGGGCAAATTAGACAATCCATACAGTTCAAAATCCTATTTTCTAGAGGCCACGAAAAGTTCCCACCGCCTTAATGCACAGCGGCACGGCTACACTCTAAACCGCCACGAATCTCCGAAGTGCCTCCGATAAATATGTCCACAGTTTAACCTTTCCTCATCCATTTGGTCCCGGATTCTCAGATCTTGAACCGTTTCTTGCTTCTGGATTTTTTTGGTTAATTTTGTATACAGAGTTGTTTGTAGTTATTTTTCTTTCAATTTCTCGCTGATCCGGTCGCTTAATTCGTAAGTTTAGCAGCGATGTCGACCGATCAGTTTGAATTCGAAGACCAAATCTCGATGACTATTGATAATGACGAAGAAATTCTGGATGCTGGGTCTGATGGGGGCGATTCGAACGACTCAGTTTCGGGTCGGTTTGGGGTTTTCACCCGGAGCGGGATGGTCCGGGTGGACGACGAGAGTTTCGAGCACGAGATCATCAGGAAGAGCTTTGTTTTGGGCATGGATTTGGCCGGGAGGGACACGAATATTGTGGCGGTGCACAAGAACTTGAGCTCCGATCCGACGAGGAGGGCGAGGTTCGAGTCGTTTAAGATTTTCACTCAGGCGGTGGCTCGGAAATGCGGCGGGAACGCCAACGTTAAGTACGGTTGGTACGGCGGATCGAAGGAGGAACTTTGTGATGTTTTGGTCCATGGGTTCAGTCGGTGCAGGGAGCCTGCTCCAAATGAAGTGTCGTACGGTGTCGGTGTTCATATGATTCCTGCCAAATTTACATGTGATGGGTGAGTTTTTTTTCATTTGTACCCATTTCTTGTTTGTGTTTTGATCTTTGAGAAATTTGATATCTTTGAAATCGAAATGTTTCATTTTTATCGAAGAATTGATGGGTTGTATTGAGCGTTTGGGTAGGGCATTGTCGTCGGTTGTTGATGAAAGTGGGCTGAAGCACATCTTGCTGTGCCGTGTGATATTGGGGAAGGCGGAAATGGTGGCGCCGGGGTCGAAGCAATCACAACCAAGCTCCCAGGAGGTGGACACTGGAGTGGACAATTTGGTCAATCCAAGAAGATATGTTGTTTGGAGTGCTATCATGAACTCTCACGTATACCCTTGCTATTTGATCAGCTTCAAGGCTCCTAGTACTCTCCCAAATGGTTAGTAGCGCAAGTCGAAATTCGAATTGGTGATTTGGTTTCTGTTCTTTCTTTTGGTTGTTTGATGGAGATTTCGGTTTTCCGAAATGAGATTTGACTCTGGTTTTGTATGTTCAGTTGTTTCAGGTGTTCCAACAATGCAGCGGAGTGCTTTGAGACCACCCCCCACGTCTCCATGGATGAGCTTCCCTGCTCTGCTGTCCATTCTCTCAAAGTTCTTGCCTCCGACGAAAATGCAGTTGCTCGTTGTTTGTCACAACAAATTCAGAGTAAGTTTTTATGGAATTTTCTGTTTCGCATGTTCAATTTTCATGAATGGCAACGCCTAATTTCGAACTCTCCGGTTATTCATTGTGCATATGTGTGTTCGATGGATTTTGCAGGCGAACAAGATAACGCGCCCGCAGCTGATACAGAGAGTGAGGCAGATTGCCGGTGACAGGCTGTTGATTGGAGTGATCAAATCTGTCAAGAGGCAGACTGATGCCGGGGCAAATGCATGACGTTGTTGGTGTAGTTGTTTGTTGAACAACCCTTAGGGCTTTCCTTTTGGATACACAGATTTAGAGATGATTTAGACAGACAACTACCCACAGGTTTTTTGTTTTTCCAAATGTCGAATATTAGCAAAATTCAAGCCGGTTTCCTTCTTCATTGCGAAATCGAAATATACAGATTTGTTCTCAAAATTGGTGGTTTCTGGTTGTTTCTTCCTATGTAGCAGTGACCGACTTTGAATTATAGCGGCCGATTTTTGTGTTTGACTTTTTTTGTCGCCTTTGGCCGGCTGAGAATATCAATCAATTGCTTGATCAGCAAGCATAAAAAAAATAAAATGAGAATTGGTTGCCTTTCACAGGAAGAAAGAGAAGGGAGATGAGGGTAGAAAGCAAAAACCAATTAAGAACTGAAGCTAAAAATGAAGATAAAATACTTGTCACAAAACCGAGCACAATGACGTTCTATGATTCACACAGCTAACGCCACTTAGTGAGATAAGGATGGTGGTTGCACTCTTTTGTCCAAGGCGAGATTGTACAAATTTTGAAAAAGTCAAAAAAGTTGATGTGCAATTGTATAACTTATCTCATTTCCATAGTTGAAGGCCAGATATATTGACTGTTCAAACAAGCTGAATGGGTTAAGTAGGACCAAAGCTAGTTTACAAATGAGTTTTTATAATTACAATGACGTATGCCCTCACCGATATACAACGCGAAGTTTTGTTTTCCTAACAAGAACAAATGTAAATCCTCTTGAATATGGAAAGAAGGCTCGACAACTCCTACTTCTTATCAGCCAAAGCACTTAATCGCCTCTCCAGCTGTGTAAAAGAAACAAAACTAAGATCAATACAAACAATGATTAGGGTTTTAAACATCTTCCCACGCTGTTATTATCGAAAACACAGTTTTTTTCCAAAACTAACAACCTAAATACATCCTATCTCCAATTCAGATCTGCTACTCAGGCATCCGTATTGGAAAAGCATATTAACAGAAGGTGCGCGTAAACAACCAGGGGAAGTCCGGTAATGGGTACAAACCTCGGCATTCTTTGTTTTCTGTATCCGCAACTCTTCGACAAGTTTGTCAATTCTGATAAGATTATCAAAAAAGATTAGATTATTGAATGGAGCATGCTTCTTGGAAATAATAGAAGAAATATCGCGCACCTTTGTCGAATACTAATCACACGGGATTCTAAGACTCTCTCTCTTGCAGAAACCGTACACATCTGCAACAGTACAAGATAATCAATATAAGTATGTCTGGACTCTGGAGTATACAAACTGCAGACTAGACTTCGTTTGATTTGTGTATCCAACTGAAGTTTGAATACCATTGCACCCGATTTTTAACCAGTTAGCTATAATGCATAGGTTTAGAAGCCAAATGAAGATCTAATACCTGCAGGTGCTTATTACGGGTTACTGCCTCTGTGATTTCCGTATGATTGCCTGTCATCGAGAAAATTAAAGAAAATATATTAACATACACAAGAGAGTCGATTTTAAACATAAGTAAAAATCTTAAAATACTACAGATAAATAACAAGAGAATCACCAGTGATTTGATCTACAATTTCAATCAATCTCATTGTTTCTTCCTGTCAGAATTGCAAAAATAGTAAGAAGACCAACACATAATTTCTCAAGTAAATGAAAGAAAAGGTTTCACTGTGCACCTTTTGCATGGCATTTTTCTGCAAAATATAATGGAGCGCAGGAATAATGGAAGCGGATGTACCAATCACAGAAGAGATAGTAAAGTCGTTTGGAGTGTCCTGAAGGGAAACACCAATAAGAATTATGGCATAAGTGCCAGTGCTTCATAACAATCCCAAAACCAAACAATTATTCAATCAATTTGAAATTTAGAGGAAGAGAAGATGATTTATTTAAGGTTTACAGTAAGAAACGCTTATAGAAAGCAAGTTAAAAGTTTTCAGATGCTTAGTAAAGCATCGGTTTTTCTTAATCATCTGCATGTAGATTGTTAAAAGATAACTCATGTTCCATGATAACTTATTGCACTGAATGTTATAGAACAGCATACCTTAGGACTGGAATATGGGATCGTACTACTGCATCGCCCTTGCAACCCTTGGTCATCTGATGTGGTCTCTGTTAACCCCAGATAAAATTGATAAGAATTTTTCTTATGTTATGACAAAGAAACATTCAATTTCAATAAGGATGTGAACTGATGATATAGATAGCGAAATATATATACCATATGAAGAACAACTACCATCTCTCTTCTGATGATGTTCCAAGTGATCACTGCATTTGAGGAATCCCTCGGTTAACAAAATCCAGATACTGAACTAGTTTTCTCCAATATCATGGGAAAACAACAAAAAAGGAAATCAAACTTTAAATTATTAAACTCGTCCACATGATGAATGCACGAAACACACATCCATGTAGAAGGGGAAAAGGAAGTTTAGCATGTGATGTTTCCAACCTACGTGTACAAGCATTTGATACAAGTTACATTGACTTGAGATGTATCTGAAACAAGTTACATTCACTTGAGGTGCATGAAGAAGTAATCAAGCAAAGGCTTCATAAACACAACCAAGCAGTGGAAGTATCACTAACTGGAAAATTTATGGAGATGATGAAAATTTACTTTGAAACAAGAAAAATATTAAAAGTAACAAGAGTTCTGAACTTGCCTGCCCTCCTCATCACCACTGACAGAAGGGGAATGATCAGTTTTTGAGGAAGGTACTATTCTTTCCAAATCAACTCCAAAATAGCTACTCTTTTTTCCTTGTCCTGATGGTGATAAATCAGCAATTTCTTCAATTTCCCCGAGGCCAGAATCTTTCCATATCGATCTACTACAATTGAAACTATCTACATGTACATTAATGGGATCTCTGAACACAAATTAGCACAGTATTAATAATTCTTAAGAGAGTAGATTATGCAGAATTAAACAATTTGCGATTGCCTTTCCCCCTCACACCTTTCTGTTAGACCAGCTGATTTACCAAATCCACCATTCTGTTTGCAGCTCCAGTCTTGGTTTTCAGCAATGGTGATGCCATCATCATCTTGAATCTAAAAGCAGAAAATAGTATTTATCTGAGTATGAATCACCTTAAGTTATGCAATCAACAACTCTTAGCCTCTTGCAGACTGTTCTGCAAAGTAAAAAGAAAGACATATACATATCTAGAAATGATCTACTCACAATAGCAGCCTGTCGTTTCAAATCATCTAGATCAAAATTCCATGCACTGATCCCTCGTATATACTCTTGCTGCAATAAAGAATATTTCAAATCATATATAAAATTTGAATTTAAAAGAAACAAAAAAATAATTATATAACATTTTGAACTTTTGTAAAAGAACTGTTGCAAAATAATATTAGTCATTACCTGTGATAAATGGTCTTTGTCACCATAAAAAGACTCGCTTTGTGCAAAGAACTCAGCCTCTTTTTCCTGATAAAAAGAAGGCACATAAAAACATGCAATATAGAAAGACTACAGAGTACAGAATAGTAAACTTTATGAAAGCCATACAAGTCTGAAATGGAATGCCAACCTTCAACATCCTAAAACGATCTCCAAGGGGAGAAAGACCATTAAGAATTGACCCTGCTATAAGCTCCTTTGAATGCACATGTTTGAAGAAACGGTGATTCAAGAGCTTTTCCGCAGTAGGACGCTTCTTCGGATCCTTAACTAAGCAGGCAGCTACTATCTCTTTAAATGACTACAGGTGAAAATTGATTTCAGAGCAGGTTGTAAAAATAGTGACCATATATAAAGATTATTACTGGAGTCACACCTTTGAAAATTTCTTGTCCCTCTCATAGTCAAGGCCAGGAGGAGCATTCTGTAAGGTCATTAACAAAACCTACAAGGGCAATAATAATAGGGATACCACATACCAAAAGTTAATAAAAACAATGATTTCCTCAAAAAAAGAAAGGCACTATTTTGAGCTATGTTTTGTGAATAAATAATATAACCATGACCATGTCAATTACCATAAATAAAAATAACACAAAAAGGTGTTTAACAAATGTGCATGCACACAAACACGATCTCAGCAAGAATTTTGTAATGTTTGATTTTAATTTTACGAAAAATTCAGTAGCTCCATGTCCCGTCCCATGCAATCTAACTACGAAGAGTAATGAAATTTACCTTCATTGGTGGGTACTTGGAAAATGGAGCATGACCATGAGCAAGTTCCAGTGCTGTTATCCCAAAAGACCAGATGTCTGCTCTGTTTGGATACGAATAACAGACCCCACGAGGATTTGAACGACAAGTTAAAGTTAGACAAAGCTTAAAGAAATGAAATTCAAGATTATCAAATATACACAAGTCAATAAGTATTCTTCCATGACCAACTGTAAACAAATCAACCACTCACTTAAAGTCATATCCATGCAATTGCTGCATAACTTCCGGAGCCATCCTGTGAAAAAAAAGGACTGTTAAATATGAAATGCAAGGAGTTCGAAGACCAACTCGAACATTATATATTTTTGAAATAGTCAATAGACAATATGTAGATAGAGAAGGTCCAGGCCATCACCAGCAAGGAGTTCCAACAAACGTTTTTCTTGTATGTTGTCTATGGCCAGTGTCGAACAAGCTCGCTGAAACTCCAAAGTCTGCTAACTTAACTGCACCTTTTGTATCAACCAGTATATTACCAGCCTGTAAATAATAGGGTTAAAAAGCTTTAATAAGACACATTTGGTCAAGTCGGCTTTGTAGAGAAAATATAAATACATACATGGACGGATAATAAATGCAATCAAACATATGGATGATCAAATCTAGTAATCTACAATACACCAATACAACTACTCATGGCTAGCCCTAAATGTACAGATAGCAACACTTGTATTTAACATTTTGCACCGATATGCAAATAGTAGTAAGCTACATCCAAAAGGTAACGGAGAGTCCAGAAAACACCATAACACAAATACAAGGCTGAGTAATATTAACGTACCTTAACATCTCTATGAATGTGTCCATGGCAATGCAGATAAGCAAGGGCTTTGAGAACCGCATACAACAATGTAGCAATAACGGGCTGCTCAAAACCATCAGGGTGGGCAGATTTCATGATGTGAAGACACGAACCAGAGGCCATGTAAGGCGTGACGATCCAGAGGCTACTGCCGGCAGTGAAAGAGCAGTGAGCCTTGAGCAGATTCGGATGGTCAAGCAGGATCATGGTCTGCACTTCTCTCC